TAATCATCCTCGTTGCTCTTCTCTGCAATCTTTCCAGAGTCTCAACCTCTTTTTTATAGTGTGGTGACCAAAACTGGATGCAGGACTCTAGCTTGTCTCCTTGATTAGCTTCCATCCATTGTTTCTTGTCCTGCCCTCTTTGGAGAATAGCTTGATCCCCTCTTCTCTGGGGCAGTCCCTCAAATATTGGAAGGCTGCTATCATGCCACCCCTGGTCCTTCTCTTCATTAAATTGGACATACCCAATTCCTGCAACCGTTCTTCATGTGTTTTAGCCTCCAGTCCCCTAATCATCTTTGTTGTAGATGGCTAACCATGAGTTGCCTTCTTTCTCCCACAGGTTCACTACAACCAGGGCCTCTCTTTATCCAAGGAAGCTGCCAAGATCCATGGGTTCAAGTTTCCTGAGATGGCCACTTTTGAGGCAGCCAAGGGAGCTTTCCAAGCTAAGCTGACCATGTTCTACATGGACATGGAGATGAAAGAAGCAGAGTTGGAGACTTTCCTGGACCTCTACAGATTCTGTGACAAGGTGAGATCAGAAAATGCCTTCATAAAGTAGAAGAACAGTCAAAAATGGTGTCAGGGTTCTGGCCCTCATGAAATCATGAGCCTCGAGTTCAAGCATCACAAGAATCCCAAAGATTTATTAGGAGCAACATGCTGGCATTAACCTAAATGAAGTCAACTCTGGCATCCTTAATTTACAGACACCTGTGACCCTGTTTCCTCTCTCCCCCTTGGGTGTGTCATAAATCAGATTCTCCAATGAAGGATTTTCTTTTCTTTTTTTAAAATTTATTTATTCAATGTTTCAAGAATTTAAAAAAGAGAAACAAGTTCTCACATTTTACAGCGGCATCATAGCAGTGTACATGTCCTTTAATAACAGTTGAGTGCATTTACCGTAGGTATATGTGTTGCTAATTTATTAATTCCTTACTTATTATATTATTAAAGTACATTATTTATTTATCTACACTACTTTACATATATGGTATTCAGCTTTGTTCGGGTATTTTCCCACATCATTATTTATTTTTTTATACATTATTATACTTTACATATATATATACATACACATGTCATATATCCTATTCTTCTTTGCAGTTTCTTTAGTCATTTTCACAAAATATTTTTACTCCTTTTTTTTAAATCATTTATACCATATATTCCATATCGTAAAATATTCTTCTTCTTCCCTGTTTTTTAATAACACGGTTAGTCTAATCATTTCTTCCAATGAAGGATTTTCCTGGGCAGAAGATCCGGTAGCCTAGCTACAATCTTTGTAAGATAAGCGTGGAATGTACTTCTGGTTTTAATCTGCCTTACTGCTCCTTCAGATCCCCCCCCCACATTATTTATGGCAACTCCAAAACTGGCCTAAGAATGTTTTACAAATTGACAAATGATTGTGTACAGCTAAAGGAACTAGATATGTCTAGCCTAACAACGAGAAGGCTCAGGGGAGCCATGATAGCTTCTTCTAGCACTTGAAGGGCTGCCACAGAGAAGAGGGAGTCAATCTATTTTCCAAAGCACCTGAAGGCAGGAAAGAAACAATGGATGGGAACTAATCCAGGAGAAAAGCAACCTGAAATTAAAAAGGAATTTCATGACGGTGAGAACAACTAATCCGTGGAATGGCTTATCTTCAGAAGTTGTTCTGACCCAACCCTGTTACCAGCAAGAAAATATCAAACAAACGCAGAGACTCAAACCTTCACAGCTTTAATCTACAAATAAACTTCCTTGCAGATAAAAGATGGCTTGCAGCCAATTAGTCCAACCAGAAAAGCCTTGACAGAATTCTTCAGATAATCCAGAGTCTCTACACACAATGCTGGGTCCTTAGAGTGTTTTTGCTTTCGGCAAAGGCAAAAACCTTTTGAAACCAGGCTTATATTCCCTGGAGGGAGGGGCCATTACGTTGCATCCTTACTCCCGAGTCGCCTGTGCTGCTCCAGCTGTTCTCTTCTATGAATCATCCTGTGCTCCTGCACACTTGGCACAGGCTCCTCGGGAACCTCCTCATCGCTGCTGCCAGCCCGCACCATCCCTGAAGGCAGCAATCCACTCCCTGATGGTCCCGGCCCCTCATCCGAGTCCTCGCTCTCCTCAGCCATCCACACCTGCTGCCGGCTAACCACAACAGAAGTTGGTGGTGGGGTCCCAAGGGTACATTTTTTTAAAAGGCAACTGGACTTTTTGGATTTTCTTTGAAGACATTTTGCTTCTCATCCAAGAAGTTTCTTCAGCTGCCTCTTGAAAAAGTCCAGTTGCCTCTTGAAAAAAGCACTTTTGGGACAACTATGACCTGTATGACTAAAATATCTACGTCGACATCCAACGCTGGAGACTTTTAAGAAGAGATTGGGCAACCATTTGTGTGAAACAGCATGGGGTCTCCTACTTGAGCGGGGGGTTGGACTAGAAGACCTCTGAGGTTCTTTCCAACCCTTTCCTCTCCTCCCTCCCCTCCCCTCCCCTCCCCTATTCATGGCAGGCTAGGTAATTCTGGGAGTTCCAGTCCAAAAAAATCCTCAAAATTGGACACCATTCTGGACAAATGGCTTTCCAATCTCTCCTTGAAAACCTTCCCCCACAAATTCTGAAGGCAACCCATTCCACTGATTAATATTAACTGTCAATAAAAATACTGTTATTGTCGACATAGTGTGGAAACCAAAAGGGGAGGCCTTTGATGGAGTAAGTAACAGATGTTGACCTCTTGTCTTTTCAAGGTCACGGCGTTTCACCTGGACTGCAAGCAACATCTGGCCCAGTGGCAGGCCAGGGAGAAGGACCCCAACATCGTGGAGGTCCAAAAGGACACCGAAGATGCTCTCCGGCGAATGTCCGAGGACTTTTCAGAGGAGAAGTTCCAGCAGATGAAGCTCCAAGCCTCCAGCCTGCACAGCGAAAAAGGTTGCTTGATCTGGAGCGATGCCTTGGAACGAAGCCAAGAAGCCAAGCGGATCCTGGAGGACCTTCTGGTCAGCCTCAAGGAGGCCAAGGGAATCACGGCAGGAGACTATGGGGAGAAGAGAAGCCCTTCCGCTCCTAACTCATCTTCGTCAATCCCAGTCGATGTCCTCACCATTGATGAGACGTTGGAGGCCACCAACAACCTGGAGCCATTCTCCAAAGAAACCACGGACAGAATTGATTCCTCTCCGAAGAAGCCCTCAGATATGGAGGTAAGAGGCCACAAGGAAGCTTCTCCAGGTACCATCTTGGAATTGGCTGGGCTTGACCACCAGGATCTGGGAGAGGAGCCCTCCGGAAGACCTCCGAGGGCCTCCTGGGATTCTTCTCCCTTGCGTCGTTCTTCTGCCTCTTCTCCCAAAGCCGAGCCAATGCCAGGAACCGGGGACACTCTACCACCCCTAGGCCACTCCTGTGCCCCTCTACTGGCGAGAGGCCCACCACGGCCTCAGAAGCGAGAGAGAGCCCAGTACTTCCAGCTCTCCAGACACGGGAGTTTTTCATCAGAAGACGCCGATTCTCAAAACTCCTCCGAAGACGCCGTGGACTCCAGCAGCACGTGGTCCATGGAACTGCAGGGTCTCCGAGGCGGTGGGGCTCAGGAAAAAGGACTGGGGATCCTCTACTTGGAGAACCACAGTCCAAGCAGCGGTTCAGGTCCGGTGAAACCAGAGACTTGAGGTGCTGGAGTTCTGGAGTTTCTCTAGGTCTTCTTCTAGCTGACCGATCTGGTGCTGAAAACATTCCTTGGTAGTTCGGGAGCTCCAGTATCCCAGCGGGATTTTCGCCCAAAGCCCAATTCTGCTCCTTCACTCTTGACAGGGCAAGCCACTGGTGTATATAAAGAGAGCAAACCCCACTCCCATCTAGCACTGATGGTGTTACCTTGGCAGGTAATGAAACGTCTGCAAGAAAACAACCAACCTTAGAGAGCACCGAGGACCACACAGTCCCTCCTCCCCTTCCTTCCTTCCTTCCTTCCTTCCTTCCTTCCTTCCTTCCTTCCTTCCTTCCTTCCTTCCTTCTTTCCCCTCTGTAAACCTAACTCCCTTCTAGCACTGATGATGTTCCCTAGTTGAGTCATGAAACATCAGCAAAGAAACAACCCAGCTCAGAGAGCACCAAGGAGTCCACAGTCGTCCTCCTTCTCTTTCTTCTCCTTCCCCTTTTTCCTTCCTGCTCCATAGACATGATTGAATGGATGACCTCCTCCTCCTCCTCCCCCTTCTCCTCCTCCTCCTCTTCTTCACCCTCCTCCTCTTTTTTCCTCCTTCTCCTCTTCCTCCTCCTCCTTCTTCATCAGCTCCTTCTCTTCTTCTCCTTCTTCTTCACCACCACCACCTCCTCCTCTCCTTTTCCTCCTTCTCCCTCACCACCTCCTCCTCCTCTTCTTCTCCTTCTCCTTCTCTTTCTTCTCCTTCACCACCACCACCTCCTCTTCTTCTCCTTCTCCTTCTCCTTCACCACCTCCTCCTCCTCCTCCTCTTCTTTCCTTCTTCTCCTTCACCACCACCTCCTCCTTCTCTCCTTATGCTCCTTCTCCTTCACCACCTCCTTCTCCTCCTGAGGATGGATTACCGTTTATTCGTGCAGACTTGGATCCAAAGTTTCTTAACATTTTTATAAAAAAAAAAAAAAACAGCTTTATTGGTTTTGCTTCTCATCCAAGAAGCTCCTTCGATTCTTGAGAAGCGAAACATCTTCAAAGGAAAACAAAGGAAGTCCAGTTG